GGTGAGTGACCAACGCTCTCTGTAGATACTTTGGTAGCAGTAGGTATGTGAACACAGTGTTCCTGAATTTTTTCCTAAATTTATACCAGGATATGAAACACTTTAATAGATACTATGAAAAAATACTTGTGAGGAAATGATGGACAGCTGTGAAAATCTGGCCTTTTTTTTTTTTAAAGTTCTGTGGTGCAGAGATCTGGAAAGCCATTTTGTAAAATCCTTTTTTAGAAACCTTTCTGTGTTTCTGTTTATTTTTCGTAAACCTTAGGTTACTTATTGTTCGTGGTGTTCTGAAAGGATTGATGCAAGGGAAAATACCAAGTGATTTCTTGTTTCCAAACAAAAATGTACAAAAAAAAGTACGTCACCCCCGCACACACATTTATTTGCTTATGTGAACTCTGCTCAAACCTTTATTCTGGTTACTTACATAGTGATATGTAAAGACTTAACAAAACAGTAATCTTGGAGGTCTCAGCGAGAGTTGAGCAGGAGCACTGAAAGTGCCCCATGCTGTGGGGCCTCCTTGGCACATGGGTGGGATTTTTGACCCAGCATTTGACCTGGATATTAGCCAAACTCTGTTACAACCTGAGCTTCAGCAAATATGCTGTGAGGCAAAGATTTGCCTGCGCTTTAGGAGAGTACTGCATTACGTATGTAGGTCAGTTTTATCATAGAATGGTTTGGGTTGGAAGGGACCTTTAAAGATCATCTAGTTTCACCTCCCTGCTTATAGGTAGGGACAGCTTCCTCTGGACCAGGTTGCTCACAACCCCATCCAGCCTGGCCTTTATGTACAGGCCTACACATTTTTGTTGTTTGTTGCTGTTTTTGTTTTTTAAACACAGAGTGGAAACATCTGTACACATCAGGTATTTTTTTCCCATCTTTTCCTTCAAGAAAACAAAATTTTCTAATAATCTGTCTGCTAAACTTGTTTTGTTTGTTCTCGTGGCCATTAATGCAGTGGCCTGCGTTGTTCTCTGTGTAGCATTTTACTACACCCTAGTGGCCAGTTTGTGTCCTTCTCTTTTACCTTGTTTCCCATTCTTGGAAGCTACAGGAGAGTAGAGTTGTGCAGAGTGCCCATTGCCAGCTTTGATTTAGTTTATACAGGAATCTGTATAAATCTGTGTGTAAGGCTCTCTTAACATACATTGAAGAACTGCCATAGGTGCAATCTGGTATTTCATTGAAACATTGTAAAATGTTGCTTTTTGCTTTATTTTCACAGAATGAAGGTGAAGATTTCAGCTATGTTATTGCATTTTTTCTTGGAACAGCAGCCTGTTTGTACCAGGTGTGTTCTGGTGCTTGCCTAATTCACTAAAGTTGAGACACATCGCTCAGTCAAGCATAAGTGTCAACATAAAGTCATAGAATTTTAGGAAAACATATTTTCCTGAGTGTCACAGCTGCTTGGATAGAGTCATTATAAAAATAATTTCTGTATTTTAATGCATTGAGCATAAACTGTCACACAGTAGATTCATACATACATCTTCTGTTTGCTGACATGTTTTTCCAGGTGGTTGATTAAGAGATCTGGTGTACCTTATCTGTTATAATCTCCATTGCTTGAGACCTTTTTGTTTACTTCAAGTACAAGTTTCTTAGCTTAAGTGTATCTAGCATTTCTTTGCAAGGATTTGAATATATATATATATATTAATAGATAGGCACTGCACCCAAGATTTTCTCTCACTTCATACATTCTCATGCATCTCTTTCCTTTTGAAATCTTTCAGTCACTTTTCACTGTGTTTTCCTGTCTGACATTTTGTGCTTACATTTCATGTCTGTAGGTTTTCCATAAAGTAACCCCAGTAAATTGTATTGTTTGGCTGCAAGTGTAAAATGCTCTGGCACTTTTGGAGGAGCATAAATAATTAAAAGAATGAAGTAGAATTTTCTCTGGAAGAGATAAAACACAGCAAATAAATAACCAAGAACATACTTAGATAATCTGATGATGAATTTGGTTGAATATTGGTGTGAACATCATTATTTGCTCTGCAGGAGGAAATTTCGATTAAAAATTAAACCTAAGTGGTGATGGTATTTTCCTTGCAGCCCAGCAAGAACTGTCTTTGACAGATGGAAATGGCTCAAATGCAAATGAGACAAACTTTTTTCTTTTTTCTTTTTTACTCTTTTTGTGGAAATGAAGTAGGCAGAACAATAGCAAAAGTGAAGATAACTCTCACAAAAGAGTGTGGGACAGTTCTGTCCTTTTAGAGATTTTCCATGTCTTTTCCACTCTTTCCTCTGAAGAGGTCGTAACACTGGATCTTGTTTCTTCTGAAGCAGAACAAAGAGCATGTTTTTGACTGGAGATTGCCAGGAACATCCACTTTACTTTAGCATGGGCTATGTTAACACTGGTGTTACTTGTTTCAAGTTTGACTTGTTTGTGGGGTATTTTTTGGTAATTCACTAATAACCAGAGGCATTGCTTTATTGGAAGCTGTTTTCCGTGCAGTAATACCATTTTTTTTCTCCTGACAGTGTTACCTGTTCGTATATTACACAGGCTGGAGGAATGCCAAATCCTTCCTGACTTTTGGGTTAATTTGCCTGTGTAACATGTACCTGTATGAACTGCGCAACCTGTGGCAGCTCTTCTTTCACGTGACTGTGGGAGCATTTTCAACGTTGCAAATTCGACTGCGACGACCGCAGGGGAAGTCCCCAGATTATAACGTCTGACAAGTCCTGGAACATTTAGAGGCAGTCTTGTTCCAACAGATATTCACTCTCAGGAATGTAAAGCTGTTCTCCAAAAGAAGAAGCTGGCTGGATGGCGCTTTTTGGTTTTGTTCCTTTTTTTTAATAAAGCAATGTAAGATGCCTGCGGACATTTTTCACTTGCTGGTTAAAAAACCTTTTCTTTTAAAGGAACAGCTGAGGACACAGATGAATGCAGAACTAGAGGAGAGAAATGGGTCGTATCATGTAGTAAAATATATGTTGATGGGAGACTCATTTGGGGCAATTTGGTGGCATGAAAAAAAAGCTTTGTTCGAGAGTATGTCAATGGAAGGAACTTAGAGTATGTGTCCTGCATATCATGCAAGCTCTTCACTTCCAAAATCAGTTTTGCCTTTGTGAGGCAGTAGAGGATAGGCTAAGTTAATATTAAAAATGCTGTTGCATATTAGCAAACTAGATTTGGAATATGTAAGCTACTAAATTTTGGAATGTTTTGTTACACGTTGACAGTTGCGTGAGTGTTTTCTTGATTAAAACATAACCTGGAAACTCTTTGTTTCTTGGGATCAGCTCTTTGGCACCTGTGGCCATCCATCTAGTGTTATAAACACTTGTATGTTTTGTCACTGATGGTTTCCTTTTGGTTATCCTTTGAAAGTGGTCTGTGTGGACAGAATTTTGTTTCAGGAATGGTCCGAAGAGTTCTGCCACTTAACCCAGGACTTCAGTGCACTTCCTCTGAGCTCTGGAGAGATGAAAGGAAAGGACCAGCAGGTGAGTAAAAAGAGTAAAAAGAGCTATTGTTCTTTTTATATACCTTTAAAAATGTGGGAATGATGAGATAAGCAGGATAAATCAGTCTGATTAACATAAATGAAAAACCAAATTGGAATGTTCATTTTTGTGACTTTATGTATTTTTGTGCTGTGATAAAACCTCTTGTGTTCAAGAGGGCCATCCTTGAGGTATTCCTGAAGTTTGTGAATAGACCAGGAAACATCTAGCAATTACAAAATACAGTAGCAGCAGTGTTGTACCACCTTCAGTTTCTGTGATTCCTATGATCAGTTAGATTGCTTTTCTGTGCTGTTTCATGAGATGCAAGTTGAGAGATTTTAATGTGTGATTTGCAGTAATGTAAAAATTCACTGAAATAGTTTTTCTGAATGTATTGTGCTGTTGGATTTGGAGACTGGCAGAGCTTTGCTGTGCTCTAAGGTGTCACACTTCATTCCAAAATGGTGCGTGTTTCAGTAGGCTGTTTAGAGTCAGGTAATCACTAAGAGAGCTAGATATTTTATTTAGTTCTTTAAAAGATCGTTTTAGTCAAGAAAATTATGTAAACCTGAGAAAGGATCCAGGCTTTATCTTGCTCACAAAGTCCAGAGCAGTCCTGCTGCCTTTTCACCCCAGCTGGTTGGTGGGGAAGTTCTCATGAATGAGACCCAATGAACCCAAAATACTGCTTTGTTTTTGGCTTCTGCTTTTGTACATATGAGGACTTTTCTCTTGCATCATGTCTTTGGTTTATATGTCAGCAGATAATCTTGTTTTCTCTGTGACCCCTTCCTGCTGTTTCTTAAGGAATTCCTTCCTTAAGGAATGAAAACTTCCTTTGCTACAGTGTGAGTTGGCATAATTCTGTTCCTGTTCTGCTGTCATTAAAGTAGTGGATGATTACGGGTGTAGTGAATGAATGCAACTGTTACATAGCAGAAGACAGTTGGGTTTTTGTTTGCTTGTTTTTATGGTACTGATTTAAAAAAAAAAAAAATCACAAGGAAAATTCAGTGATGCATGTTTGGTAGTCTGACTTTTCATCACTTGATATTACTATGTGCTAAAAATGTGGCTTTTGAGGATATTACTTAAGCTTGACTGTAATGTCAGGATGTGCTGAAATGTTGTGTAAATGAAATGCAAGATAAGCGAGAGCAGCTTAGAGGTGAAAGTTGGCTGCTAATTCCCAGGGCTTCCTGTCTGCTTGTAACAATCCAGTGTTATTGAAGAAGTAGTAGGTGCTTCCCTGCTGGTAGCTGCAGATGTCAGAGTTGGACTTGTGAGGATGGATTAATGAAAGCTGAATGCTCTCTGGAGCAGTGTGGTTTGTTTTGGTTTGAGTTGTGCCAGCCATTCATTGTTGCTTGACTGTTCTGTGGCATGTAGTAGAAGCAGAGCCCACATCATGCTGCATTTATGGAGTTTGTCCTCTCTAAGGTTGGAATGGGTACATCCAGCAGCCTCAGTATCATTTTGTTTGTTTTGTTTTTGAACAAAGTTTCACTTGCAGTAAAGAATCACCCAACGCTTGACTGACTTTCACAGTGTATGAGGTTTGATTTACCCCAGAGTGCCCTGCTTGAGCTTCTAAAAATTCATTTTTCCTTGTGTGCTTTCCTTTAGCGTCTGAACTTCTTCTTGGTGGTCTGCTCACTTACATTCAGTATTTGGGCCCAAATCACAATCACAGGCTCTGGCTCTCTTGTGCAAGGAATGTATCTAGTGAGGGGATGTAGAAAGAAGGCAGCTTTCCATCATGGAATGTATTTGTGTGTTCCTTGGACTGTTTTTTAGATATTTCAGAGCTAGCAGAGATCTATAAGATGATGGAAAATGGTTTCCTGTGCAGATATTGTGGTTACTTAATGTTCAGTATTGATTCTTCAATATATCATTTCTTTACTGAAGGACTGAGGAACGACTGATTTGGGATAGTGGGCCTGTGCTGCCCAGCTGAAGCTGCACATTTGTTTCCAGTAGATGGCAATAGGTGTTTGGATCTGAAACCGTGTGCTCAAAAAGATGTAGGGCCAACTGCTGGTGACGCAGCTTTCTCTGTCCATGCTGATCCTGGGCAGGACAGGCCTGACACGAGGCACATGGTCTCCTGACTGTGTTGTGCAGCCCTCCTCAGCAAAATGGGGACAGAGAGGTGCTCGGGGATGGGAAGATAACAGCAAACCTCTGCTTCTTACAGCAAGCTGCCTGCCTGCTGCCTGCTGCTGCTGCCTTCACCACACTAAAGTGCTCCAGCTTCTTCCATTGAAAAGCTCGTGAGGGAGGATCAAGAGAATGGAACCTGAGGTGAGTTTTTGTTTGTTTTCATTTGTTTTGGATTGGTGTAGCTTCAGTCAGCTACATTGATCCTGTCAGACTGCATCCCAAGTGAGCTCTCTGCCTCCTCTCAATTGAAACATTGCTTTTGGGTTAGCTGGCAGACGTCCTAAGACAATTTTGAAAGCTCCCCTACCCCCCTAAGTTCAAACTAGAAGTGACTGTCTTCAGAGGCAGTCAGGAAGGTCAGTGGACAGTAAATATTTCCTTCTAGGCAGGGTTTTTAGCTGCAGCTTTTTCCCAAGTAATGTAATGTACCAAGATGGGGTCCAGGTGTGCTGGCAGTGCAGGACACCTGGAACAAATGCAGTGCCTCCTACAGGTACCATTTCATTCTGCACAGGCAGACACAGTGCAGCCAGCATTCATCAAAATGGGTTTTGGATGGAAAATAAAGCACTGAGGGAAAACAGAGGGTGTGGGCAAAAATTCTCAACTTACTTAAATGAGAGGGCACAAGACTGGTCTCCCTCCCTTTGGGAATACCCTTGTCCAGCTAGCAAAAGTGGCTTATGTCAGGCAATGTCCTGAGATGCTGCTTTACGATTATGTAGGGAGACACACAAAGTATGAAGCAACTCTCCAGCACCTCCCTGAGGGCTGGTTTTTAAGCCTGTCTTTTAAGAACTTTATTCCTCCTTCTTAATGCAGTTTTAGTCTCAGTACATATGTGAAATCCTACCTAACAAGGAACAGATTTGAAGGTCTTCCATTTTTATCTGCCTGTATAAAAGACCCTAAATTGAAAAAATCAGTGTGAAGATGGAGCCTTTTGTTTCTCAGTTAGACCTCAGGCTTCTGGGGATTGATGTAGATAAGTGTGGCACTTAGTGGAGCAATCCAGCAGCAACTTTTATCTAACAAGCAGCCTTAACAAGGGCTGCATTGTCCAAGTAGCTGCCTTCTTTAAGGTGTCTTTGTGAGGACAAATACAGAGGTATCCGTGTAATGTTTTGGAAACTGTGATCTACTTAAAATACACTTTTTTTTTTAATCAGCTATTCATAGTGCTGCTGCAAGGATGTGTCAGCTATCCCAGGACTAACAGCTGAAGGTATGTGTGTACAGCATCCCTGCACTAGAGGGGAGTTGGGATGCTCCATGTGCAGGGAGGGACTGGGAGAGCTCTAAGTGGGTACTGTACAGTACTGGTGTGGCCCCATCATCCCTCTGTAGCTGACTGACTGCTGCTCTGTGCCATCCACTCTATTCACTAGCCAGCTGCATCTAAAATAAAACAGACACGCTTTACCAGTGAAACAGTGTTTAATATAGTTAAATTACTTAAATAGATTTCAATTTCCATGGGAAATCATAACTGTATCCATTTTTGCAAGATCCAGAGTAAAGTGTGTGAATACCCCTTGAAATGATCATGACACACTGTCAACAATCACAGCTAGAGATACTGGGGACTTGAAATTTCATTGACAACACAACCTCCTAAGATGAATCAAAAGTTAAGACGACTGCAGACTTTCATAAAGCAGAAAGCAAACCTAAAAATGAGTGTATAGCATGGAGGTAATGGAGCTGAGTGAGGGGACCAAGGGGGTGGAAGGCGGAGGGGGCAAGAAATGCATAATGGCATGATGCAACGTAAGTATTCTGCAAACAGGAGGGATGTCAAGGAGCAAAAGTATAGTACAAGGGCAGACTTGGCAGTTTTACAGAAGTCAATATACTATACTTTTCAGAGATGTTTCCAAGGGGAAGGAAAGGGGCAGTGCCATTTAAGCTCGCACTTAAATGGCTTAATGCTAGGGTTATGCTTAGCAATATGGCAACTTAATTAAGAAAGACCCATGGATTTTTACTTGTACTTGTTGTCAAGTAGGAAAAAATAAATTACCACCACAGTGCAACCATTAAGCTGTTAGTACTACAATAATTCTGCCCTGAGAAGAGTGGAAAAGAACTTTATTAAACATCAAAAGATTGGAGCCACTTTTAGCACTAGCCAAATTCAATATCAAAACTTGCCCCTCATAGAATATAAAAAATATAACTTTTTAAAATCTTTTCTTTTCTTTAATAAAATATCAAGGGATTTTTCTTTTGTAGCTAGAAAAGGTACATAAATGGTAACAGTGAACTATTCATAAACCCCCGCTAGTGATAAAGATGTCAGACAATATCAATGGCACTGTACTTTAAGGTCACTCATCTCATACACACATTTGCCATCAAAGCCTCTTTTTGAAGATCAGCTAAATAACTCCTGAAAATGGAAAATGTGACAGTTTAAATAAGTGCTTACTACAGGAAAGTCGACTCTATGCTGCAGTACATAGTTCTTTGTAATGTCAAATGGCAGTTACAATAGCAGACAATTCTCATATCATCAGATTCTATTAATCCATCTCTGAAAACTGCTTTTTTTCAAAATGAAAGTTCAATTTCTTTTTCCTCCTAAGAGTTCCTGTTACAGTTAATTAGAAGACTTGCTTAGAGCTTTTTAACATGCTTGACAGATACCGTCTCATTAGCTAAAGCTCATAAAATAAGTCCTGTTTCCATTTGTTAAGATGCCACCCTCTGTGTGAATGCTGCATTGAACTATTGTACCTTGTTGGGTTTTTTTTCTTCTTCGTTGGGATTGCAGATTTTTCTGGATTTTCCTTTTAAAATGCATCTGATTCAGCCCGGAACCTCACGTGTTTGATTGTATAGTGATAATCTGAAAACTGCCAAGTCTGTGTTCAGAGTATTATGCACAAAAAATTACACAAAAGTCTAACAGGTTATATACACCTCCCAACACACCTTGGTGTGGACAGCCTGCCTTCTAATTTATATATAATTTACAAAATATAGAATTTGGTATTTGTTAGATCTCCATGTTTTCAATATTACAAAATAAAAAATACAAAAAAAAAAACCAAAAAACAAAAAACCCCACAACAACTTTCAGGGGAGTTCTCTCCCACAAAGTGTCTCTTGTTTACATCTAGTCTTTCCCATGTAAACTGATATATACCAAGGATGAGCACAGAAGACTTCTTAATAAATATGTTTGTTGAACCTTCTTTCTTGATCTCGATCTTCCCTGTCGTCAGATGTGCCAGCCCTGCTCAGAAGAGCAGTCATTGAGCCAGGTAAGAGAAGGGAGAAAAGAAGGCCAGGGCTAAAACGTCTTCTCACACTAAAACATTAACGATGCCATTCTAAAAGGCCTTTTTGTGTGCTGCAACAGTGGGTGTCAATTTTGAAAGCCCATTCAAAACAGCTAATAAAAGCACAGTGGTACACTTCAAATAGCTGGCAGTATGGGATGGAAACGTTATGGGAGTGCAAATCCATTCCAAAATAATGCTTTGTAGTGAATCATACATTCCTTCAACCAAGTAAATGTTGTGTTGCGTCAATAAATACTTAAATAGCTTCTTAGATCATCCTGCAGTAGCAGCCTTTGTAAAAACCCCAAATTCACATCTTATCTGTGAATGCTGTAGTACACATCTTTGGTCGGTTTAGCACTCAGCCAGGAGCAAATCCCAGGTGGTTTCTCTCCATTGCCTTTAGGGACAGGTGGCCAAAGAGGTTGCTGATACCAGCTCTAGAGTCACTGTGTGAAATTTCAACTGCTTTGCGTTTTAGACTTGCTGCCAAAAAGTGATTCTTCTTTGAGTCACAATCTTCTGTAATGCAGATTCCATCTTTGAGCGATGCTGCAATTGGTGCTAACTGATTGGAGGACCTTCATTTAGGAAGTAGGTGGTCATTTCTCCTTTGCCTTTGACCTTAATGACCCCTCGGTATTCCAGCTGATAGTTGTTGGCTGCTAAAACCTGGTACATGTCTGTGGTAACCTGCAGAATAAATGAGAGTTAACATATGCCTGTCATGCTTTCCACGCAGTCTGTTCCTTTGCTTTTGAGGTGAACAACAGGTAATGTTAAAGTAGGATAGTTCTGTTTCTAAGTTGACTCTCATATCAGTCACTGAGAGATTTGATATCAAAAGTTGCAGAACAAAGCCTTTAGAAACTGAGCAGCTACAGAAGCCATACAGGTACACGAGTTGGAGAGAGCTGCATTTTCCAAGACATAACTTTTAGGTATTTCACTGCTCTCAGTTATCAACTAGGGCTCAAAGTGTAATTTGCAAAATCCTATCAGGCACCTCAGCTGATCAAACTTAAAGATTTTGAGGTCTAACTCACAGCACTTGAGGTTTTTAGCCCCACCCACAGACCCATCACGTGAACATCACATAAACATCAACTCCTCACATGAACTTTATTATCAAACAAGCACCACAAAAACAGCAGCAACTTCCTGCTAATTTATATAATTTAATAATTTAAATAATCCTGCTCACTGGCAAACCCTTTCTTACTCTGTATTTTCTCATCCTTCTTCAGGTAGCTTCTAATATTTCCATGCCTGCCTTCCTTTTGCTGTAACGTTGCTGTGTTGTTTTGTTTAACTTGAACAAAAATTGTTCGGGGAACAAAAGTTGTTGTGGGACAGTTTAAATGGTGTTGGATAAATATTGATTGGTTATCTGACAGCTGAGCTGGAAAGAGAGAGCATGGCTTTCCCTCTCGGATTTCACATCAGTTACTGTAATTATTTTTTACATCTCTTCAGTATTTTCCTAGGGAACAACAATCTGTATGTGGGCATTGGCCCAGCAAAAGCAGGACAGTGAAATGAATCACTGGGAATGTCACTGCCTGAGCACCAAATAGATGCCTGGATTACAGCTTTCCATTAACCAGTTTAACTGCCCTCACTCTCCAGGTTGTTACTCCCATTCCAGTAATGCCTGGCTCCTTGCTAGCCTCACAACGGGGAAGGCACAGCAGACAGAAGTGACAGACAGAAATACATTTGTGAATCAAGTCCTTGCAAAATCAAACAGCCCGCACTTGTGTGCAGTCCCACAGCACAGCTACCAGCATGGGTGGGCAGGCAGCACAGCTGGAAGGAAACTCCACTCAACACTTCTACTCAGAACTACTTTGCCAGTGTTTAACCCAAGGCTGTTAAAACGGTCAAAATTATAAGGCATAACTTGATGCTACCGCTGGCATTCCCTGGTTTGCTTTTCTGTCAGTGCTGTGTAAGTAAATGTATGACATAAATGAATAAAATACAACAAAAATGCCAATTCTGATTAAGTTTCAAAAACCATAAGTGAGACAGGCAGTATAAATGAGTTTTCCACTGAGTGCCTTACCTGAATCCTGTCAGGCACACCTGTGCTGTCCATTCTGCTGGCTACATTCACCGTGTTTCCCCATATGTCATACTGGGGCTTACGTGCCCCTATCACCCCAGCTACAACAGGACCAATATTGAGGCCTAGAAATAGGGGAGAAATGCATCACATGTGAAGCTTGAGGCAAGTTATTTTTCAGGCAGGAAAAGACATTTTAAAGGAAAGTTGGCTTCTTTGATCAGCTGCTCAATCCACAGCTGTTTTCCCAGTGCCAGACGATGGGATAAGGGTTATTTGCCATCCGGCTGCCAAGCTAACTGGACATCTGTACACAGCTACTGTGATGCTGGGCAGTTGCGCGATGGGCACTGTGGCAGCCTGAAAGCCTCTGAGTGAACTCAACACTGGACATCCTCACTCTTTAATCTCCTTTCCTGTCTCTTTTATTCCAATGTCCAATACCAGCTGTTGAATGGCACCACTGGGAGCGTGGGCAGGAGAGCACATCGCAGGTGCATTGAGCCCAAGGAGAACCACCCCATGTGACCGTGCTGCGATAACAGATTTTGTGCACAGAGGACTGTTGCTCGATCGCTCCTGGTTCTCCAGGGAGCTTTGGTAATAACATCTCAGCCTTAACTGAACTGCTCTGACATTTCTCAGAGGCTGAGGCAGGCAGACTGTTATTTTCCTGTCACTGGGTACAGAACAATCAACATCCCTGCACAGTTAAGGTAATGTCTATGTTGTTTTCTCTCTGTAAGATCCCCAGCTCAGAATGACAGCTACCAATACTTAATCCCATAAACAGTGACATTACCTATCTTCATCTGGAAGTTGTTGAATGAATGTTCATTAATGTATTTCATTTGGTCCATTAACCTCATGGCAAAATCAGCCAGAGCTTTGATATGCGTCTTCCCCTCCTTGTCGTAAGTGGAGTCGTTGAGGCCTGACGCGGCCATATATGTACTGCCAATGGTTTTGATCTTCTCCAGCTGCCGAAATTGGTCTTCACTTATTATCTGTTACACGAGAGAATTGCAAGGGAACTGAATAAGCTTGTCAAATGCATACATGCTGGCATGTTCCTGCCCAGTGTCCTGCCTTGGTACAAGCACTACAAAGTGCTGGACAGAGTCTCCATTACTCAAATTACACAAGGAAAGGGGATTAATGATTCTGAGGATGGACAAGGGAAGGAGGGGGATTTTCATCTGAAAGGAAAAGAATTAAAGACTTCTGGAGTAAGGAGAAACGAAACATGACACAAGGATTCAATAAGCCACCTTCCTTCATAAGCTTATTCATAAGCTTAGCAAAGCCCAAATAAATGAACTCATCGCTCAGTTTTCTTTAGCAACACAAATTTTCTGTGACTTACTTCATCAAAATCCGCAATGATCTCATTGAGCAGCCTCAGACACTCCACCCCCTCATTGTTGGCCTCCAGTTCCACGTAAAACTCAGAGAAGTTGCTTATGGAGGCGAACATGACAGCCACGCACTCGCAGGACTGGTAGTACAGTTCATCATTTCGCCGCTCCTGAGCCAAGAAATGGGCTGCCACGTCCTTCGGCAAAATGTTGTGGAGGAGGCGTCTGTTATAGGCCTGCAGCTCCTCCATTTCTTCTTTCTCTTCAGTGGCCTAGTTTAGGAGGGTGAGAGTGACACGCTTATATCTTTTGGTAACTGCTCTGAAGGAAAGAAAAAAGCTGAGCACGAGCTTGCAGGGAGGACAGAAATAGAAGAAAGGGGGGAATGGCAAAGGAGGACAGAGACAAAAAAAATGCAGGATCACATTTTGCACTGGAAGACTGTGTGTCTGTGGGCACATGTATATAAAAGCCAAAGGGCTTTTTGCCTAGCTCAGTACACGGTCCCTCCCTTTCCACAAGGTTTATGGGGGTACTGCGATGGTCATTACATACAGTTACAATGGAGCCCATGAAACAGGCTGAAGATGACAGGCTGAAGAGGATTTTTCACCAGCCTGTAAAGCCCTTGGCTCCGGTGGCAGAAGGCGAACATCTGGGCAAAGGGGACCATGAGGAAAATGGGCTGCTTTATTTTCACTCTAACAGATGTGGATTTGAGGCTGGAACCAGAACTCCCAGCAGGATTCAATAGCTCGTCTTTGCAGACTTGCCCAGTACTACCATCACCTCAAGTCATTGTTTCAAGTTTGTAGGTAAAGACATAGAGGTGGTTGCTTCTCTCTCCTCCTTTACCCCAATATAAGCAGCAGTATTTTACCCCTTGTTTTACTTTTTGCTACTTTGAATATTTTTGTGGAAAGACCAATGGACAAAAGCAGGGTCAGGCAATAGCTGCAGAATGCACAACAAGTTGAGGGGACACGCTGAGCAGTTCAGCTTATGGATGCCCCAGAGCCATCCTGTGCACCACTTGCTCAACAGAGGCAGCAGTCAAAACTTTCCTAACACTGCAAAGTTTTCTTTAATTTTTTTTTTTTTACCCCCCAATAACTTTTGCCACTGCTGGAGAGCTGGAGTCAAAAAGTCTCCTGGCACTTTTGCACTCTATCATGGACTAGCACAGCACAGCCATCCGTATCAGCCATCACATACAAGGGATTGCTGTTCCAACATCTCCCTGCCACATGCTGGCAAAGGGACAAGCAGGAGCTGCAGAGCACCTTGCATCTTTTCTGGTTTCTAAAACAAGATGTTTGAAACTGGAAATGGGGTT